CGTCGGATTATGTCGGGTTTTTTGAACACCCATAATATAGAGTAGGGGTGCATATCAGTCGGTTGGCGTTGGTATTAGCACAAAACTCTGACAATCAAGTTATGATCTATCATAATCATATTTTCTTGTAGATCTATACAAATTGGTCAAATTTCTAATAGTTTGGTTGGTCAATATTTTAAGGATGTGAGAGGTTAAGCATGCAAATGGATTCTCGATATCAAAGAGATAAAGTTGCTATAAAAGAGAGAGAGAAAAAAAAATAAGGAAGAGACGAAGAGGGGAGAGACGTAGGAAGAAAAGAAATAAGAGTACGAGAGTCACAATGAAAGAAAAATTAAAGAAAAAAAAAGTTAATATTGCTTTACGCATTTGGAATTTGATCGATTCAGGATTTGAAGAGTTTGAAATAATTTCAAATTTTTAATTACGGTTGGAACCAAATTAATTTAAAATTATTTTTGGATGTCCACGAAAAAAGAAAAGAAAGTATAATATTATACTGTTATGTCCGTATAATTTTGCATGATATTATATAAATAAATAATAATAGTATAATGTAATATGAAATAGTAATGTCACTACATATAAAAATAAAATTATTTAATCAAATTAACTTAATAAATTAAAATTGACAAATGAAATTAAAAAAACAACTGGATAATTATATATTTTAAGAAAACTTAATTGCAAATTATTTTAAATCTAAACCAAAATAATCTAACATAGTTAAATAAACTTAAACCATAATCTTACTTTCCCTCTTTTTCATTTATTTTACTTTTTATTTTCATGCTCTTGCTTCTATTTTCTTTTTTCAAAATAATACTTAGAACTAATAAAAATGCTAAAAGAAAAGCCAAAAATAGTTTAAAAAACAAATTCAAAGAGAGATTTTAAATATTTTAAATGTATCAAACATCTCTTTACAAATTTATTTGGAACTGATTTTTTCTACACAAATTTATGTTATAAAAATTGAAATAAGTAATAAAACTATCGAAACGATACCAAGCAAAACATAAAATCAACCAGCATTTTGATTGAAAAGTGATAAAAAAAAGATGTATTTAGGTAGGCAAAAGAGAGAACGATTTTTGCCGTATACAATAATTTGCCTAGGTGGAGTGATTAAATTTTAACGTATTTGGAACGGAAAGATTTTTAATCAAACGTGATTTGAAGTACTGTTATAATTTTAAATTCTTTATTTTTCTTTGCTGATCAAATAAGAGAAATTATTATTATTATTATTTTTTTTTAAAGAGAGCGTAAAACAAGACAGAGAGAGTTGAAGGAAGAGAGGGGGTGCGAGAAAACATGGGCAGAGGGAGGTGTAGATTTGGGACTAGAGAGGATTTTCGGTGAGAGATAGAAGTATATTTTTCTCCATTAAAATAATAAATGCTCCTACCCTAACCATGCTATTAAATATTCGTTGATATTTGTATGTATCTACGAATTTGACATCAACATGAGACATAAATCAACATTTTCATAGTATTTGAAATAAAAAAATCGACAAAATATGAAAAATATCAATAAGACATCACTAATATAAACGTAATATCGATACTAATTATTTTTAACTTATTTAAAAACGTTGAAATACTTATTCCTTAATTTAAATATATCTTTTTATGAATCTTTCGTTTTTATAACATTTTCAGAAATATCAATGGACATAGACATCGATATTTTCTATTTTCAAACATTAATATTTCTATCGATATAAACATTTAAAATCTCGATTATAAGATTAAATAGTACTGAGAACACTTATTAACAAGATTTAACTAACTAATCAACCTAACTCTACTTTTCAAAAAGAAGAAAGAAATAAGAAAGAATACAACAAATTTATTTAAGCACAACTAATATCAATAATGGAGGAGAGATGCATTAAGTAAACTAAAAAAGAGAGAGAATCAAGGCATTTCACGTGATTCACGTGGATGCGTGAGTGTCCTGACTATTTTTTTTAGTACAAAATTGAAAATTAGATATTTATATATAGTACTAAGATTAAAATTTTATAAAAAACATAATTTGCATAATTATATAAGAGTAACAAAAAGTAAAAAAAAAGAAAAAGAAGAAAGGTTAAAGCGCCAGATATATATATAAATAAATATATAACATTTAATATACAAATCGTTTGTGAGTTCATCCCCGTCGGTCTTATCTATTGGGAAATTTGAATATATGACCCCCCCATAATTGATTTTGGATTTATGACCCTTTTTTGAAAAAACCTAATTTGTGACCCCACCTCCCCTTATGTTTGACTTCTTCAAATTTTTATCTTTGGAAAAAGACGAATTTACCCTCCTGGGTTAATAAATATATATTTATGATGCATTAAATTTTCACCTACCTATTGTTGTCCACGTGTTTGATCATATTATCTACACACTATCTAAAATCAYWMTYTCMAMATTTTYACTTTWRAWWWGTT